AAAGCTTTGATAAGCATCTATCGGTGTAGGTTGCTAAGCAATTGAGTTGATTGGAAAAAAAGCTCGCGAAATTCCAAGTGTCGTATGCCAAAAAAGGAAGTGACGAGGGAAATCTAACATGCCCTGAGAATGTTGATAGTGTAAGCATTCAAAAGTATTTTTGGTATTTTAAATAATTAAGCTCTTATCTCGTCCGATAGGATCGTCGTGAAAGGTATTGCAAGAGGAAACTGAGTTGAAAGTTTTGCGTAGCTTACCAAACCTTTGATTTAAATGCGTGTCAGGGAGAGAACGGTAATTACCTGAAACAGAGAGGAGAAACAAAAAAATTAGTACTAGATAACATCTACTAAACATTAGGACAATTATTGCGTGCGACGCGCAAATACTTACACTGATAGCTGCAGATTCACAAGTTGAGAAAAGAAAGATTGAATTGAATTCGAATATTGGCATATGTCAAACTGGAGGGCCCGAAGACCCGTGAGAGTCAATGGGGATAAGAAATGACTAGATGAGAATGTAACAAGTCTAAAGTTGAAACTATTTTCGGGACTGATCCATTATCAATATCGATGCTTTACGTTGAAACAAATCCTAGCATCAACGATCTATTTTTCACTCACCTTTTATCACTTCCGGGATACCTAACTCTATTTCAGACCATGCCGAGAATCGTTTAAAATTAATTTTATACTATTTTACCCTCTTTATTTTTTTCAAATTATTTCATTTTCATTTTTTTTTGGCGATTTACTTCAGTTGTTGATAGTACTTCAATTGTACGTTTTTATTACAGCATTGCTTTGCTAATGTTTCATTTTTTTACATTACTTCGCCTTTACTTTACCTACTTGATTTTATTTTTCAATTGTATCGTTTTCTTTCGGTATATCACTTTCCTCAGTTTTCATTATATCTTTTTTAATTATACGTAAGTTTCGGTAATTTTATTATATTGTATTTGGCATTGCTTTAATTTATTCCTTATTTTTCTTTTTTACTGTTCCCTTGATACAGTTTTGAATGATTTATTTCCCTGTAAACTGGAATTATACTAGTCCGTTCTACGTCATTTCATTTTTCATTTCATATTATTTCCTACTCTAATTTCTGCTACTATAAGTTTTTCAATTTTTCATTCAGTATTTTTGCCGGTAAAAGATAAGGTAAAAGATTAAATCCGAGTGCAGCTGATGATTGTGGTTAATTATGCCTTCATTACAGCACTTTTTTTTCTAACTTGAAGAAATCGGTCTGGAATTATCAAAAAACATTTATGCCAGACAAGTTTGCGGCAATTACACTATCTTTTCTCCCGACCTGACCCAATAAAGCCATTACATTCTAATCAGAAAAATTACATGTTTGAGGAACTTTTGCTCAGGGAAATAATGAAAATATATCGATCGGCACAATGCACCCGTCGTCTCCAGATCTTTTTCTTCTGAGTATGCTTCTATTTAGAACATAATAATCATAAGATTTCTTGATTCGAAGTAACGTCTGACCTCTTTATCTCCAGTAAAATGTTGACTTTATTAACCGTTTGTTCCACAAAAAATCTGACTAAAAATGAACATCATCTGAAGCGTTGCAACGGCAATTACATCCGCTCAGTGCTGAGGCGTGAATAATCGATTTATCGATAATTCCCCATTTGAAGCTGTGGTGAAGAATCGATTGTTAAGGGGTTCGTTGTGAACACCCTGTTTATCGATCCTTTTCCATAGGTTTAAATGACAGACCAATCGATACATCGGAAATCACGTCACGCCACTGCATCCGCTTAATTCATCTTCTCATTTATTTGCCTGAACTCGCGTGATGCTTTTTGATCTTGCTGACGTCGAGTTAATGGTTAGACGCATTTAAATTAAAAGGAGCTGCATATCTTGATTGTGACCTGAGCCTTGAGACCCATATGAATACATGCAGAATCGGGTCCATGTTTCAATGAAGATACGTCCTTCTGCATGATTTGAATTAGTTCAGTTCACTATCAACTGCTCTACATAGACTAAAAAACTGACCTACTTTCAAGGATTTAAGAAAAAAACAGCAGCTGCCTTTTTCATTCCACCTTCGATTAGCTATTGACTTTCCTACACTGGGTAAGATGCGACACAAAAATGTTGCATTGCATGCAGAATATTTTAAGAAGACATCGTTTAAGAAAGCAATTTTACTTCCGGTTAACAAGGGGATAACCGCTCGATTTTCGTTTGTTTAGAAACTTTGTTGGA